CCTGGTTTGCCCTCCATCTCAGCTCTGATCCACCATTTTAGATCCTGACTTGCCTTCCATCTTAGAGCCTGGACTTCAGTCCTCTTTTTCCTGTTCCCTAAAACAGATAGAAAGTCTGCAGTCAAATACTGTTATTAATTATGTAAAATGAAAGAGTAATCTAGAATTTCTTTCCAGTTTTTCTTTTATAAACTCTTGTAGGTTTTCTACATATTTCCCTTGGAATAGTATATCTTAATCTGTACATCTCTAAAGTTCAGCCTGGGTAGGTTACATATACATTTATATGCATCTTTAAAACATACATGTATACATATACAGTTGGGTTTTTTTGTTTTGGTTTGGTTTGGTTTTGTGGATGACTGAACTGAAGGAATTCTTCAGTTTTTTAATAATAAACAAAATTAAATTAATTTTATAGAATTTTAAATTTTGATTTTTTCCTTTACAATATCCACCCTTCAAAAAGAATAAGAACAGGGTTGCTTAGTCTCTAGTTCTGGGTGTGCAGGGATGAGCTCACCATGAATTTGAGAGCTGGGGATTTGGCCCAGGCCTCCTTACAGGCCTGCAGGTGGCTGTGTTCTGTTCAGTTAATCCCATTAGCTGCCAAAGGCTTATAAGGTTACTCTTAAGGGACATTTGCATTGTAATAAAGAGTTCTGTGAGGCCAAAATTATGAAAGAGTCACATTTTTAATAATGAAGTTCCTAGCACTAAGACAGGGGCAGTGAGGAGAACAAGGAGGGAAATTTGAGCCATCATCACCTGTTTTACTTACTCCCATTCCCTCTGCTTACTACTGTGAGCAAACTAGCAGCCTTCACTACAACAAACTGGCTTCCTCTCCTGTGATCCCAGGATGTGGAGACCACCATACCTCTAGGGCAACAGCATTGGTAGTCTGGTCACTTTGTTTTCTTTAAACAAGAAATGGAAGGTGCCAGGCATGGAGAAGAGAACAAGAAAGGAGAAGACTGGGCCAGTAAAGAAGCCACAGAACAACCTTGCTGTTGGCACACTGCACGAACAGCCTTCCAGCTATGTGGTTATGACCAGGGGAGAACTTGCTGCTTAGTGGCACAGGTTGATTGCACACCTTAGCCTGGAGTTGCCCAGAGGTGCATTAATAAGCATTGACTCAGCTGAGGATTGCCATTTTGACTTGCTGGATACAAGTATACCCTCTAGAAACCCGGAAGCCTGCCAATTAAGCTCCCTAGTGTAACCTAAAAGGGGCCTTTCCAAGATGTACAATATTTAGGAAACATAAATTAGCTAATTTTGAAAGCTCCTGATTTTAAAGTGTAAGTAGTTGAAGGCTAGGATGAATGTTATAAATCCCACCCATAATAATGTGTGTTTAAATATATGTCAGATTTTAGTGCCAGAGAGAACTCAGCATCCCTTAGGGGTAAGGTTCTTCTGGTTTTTGTTTGTTTGTTTTTTGTTTCTTTTTAAAATATTACCTCTCTATAATGTGCCTTACATTGAAGCCCTGTGATGCTTAATAGAATGAGAATAACACTGTCACAAGATGAGGCATTATTGCAGAAAGACCCTTAGTAGCTCTGTGTCTACGGCACATAGAAATGACCCTCCCTGGTGTAAGTTACGGCTTTATTGCAAGCCTGCGGCAGGAAAGCCGGCAACAATAGTGCACGCACTCTCACGCTTTCCCTTCAAGCATTAAAGGCTTTTGGATTTTATCTTCCCTGATCAAACTTCTGCACTTCCTTCTAAATAGCTTCCTCTTGCCCCTTAGCTAAGCCAACAGGGAGAATTGGAGTCTGAGTTTTGTTAAATTGTGGATTCTAACGATGACTGGTATGCAAAGCCAGAGATGGCCGCAACCACCATTCCCCACCATGAAAAACGGCTTCGTAGCCACCTTGCTGCAGACACTGCCTGGCTCAAAACAGAGATTTTTCTCCCATCCTCTCAAGGTTAGGATTTTGCTTAGAATTTTGCTTAGATTTTGCTTTCTGCTTCCAGCTAAAATTTCCATCCCCAAAGGGGCTGATTTCAGGCAGAGAAAGGACCACTTTAGCAAATGAGAGAAAGGGAAGGAGTCGTGAGGAGGTTCACTATAGCAGCAGTGAAAAAAATCAGCCATGCCATTTCCCTGACAGCTCTTTAATTATGATGAAAGAACAAGATGTGTTCAGTTTTTTACAGAGTAGGGGAGGGAAAAGATCTGAAAGGGACAGGGGCTTCGGGGGTGCAGGGAGCATGCAGCTGTCACCTCTGAGTGACAGACGCTCTGGATGAGGGAATTTCAGCCCCTCCCTACGGTCCATGAACACCCCCCTCTTCCCCAGCCAGGTCCTCACCGTCTTGCTCTATTCTACCAGGGGGATTGTAAAATAACCCAAAGGGCAAAGATGAGTCCCTTTCTCTCTGTAGGGCCAGATGGGATTTTAGCCCTCAGGCCAGTCCTGGCTGGTGCTTAGCTCCAGTGGTTGGGAGGCTTTTCAAGTGGTCTGACACACACCCCTGTTGAAAATTATGCTAGGTCAGATATGCCATTCCAGTGGACATTCAAGGGCCTTAGAACTGGAGATTCACAGAGCCAACAGGCCCAGAGACAGGCATCACTGCAGGCAGAGGCCATGCTATGGGTTGGGGAGGAGATGGAGGCTTAAATGCTGAGCCCATGTTCATGTCAAGCAAGAACCAGGAAGGTCCTCATTTTCCTTCCCACCTCGGCTTATCTCTAATCCTCCTCTGATCTCAAGCAAACACTTACTTGGCTTGCTTGAAGCTCCCAAAAGCACTCTGGCATGTCCAGAAAAGAAATAAAAGTGAATTCTAAATGCTTTCTTAGAGATGGAAAGAGCCTTGGCTTCTGGGAATAGGAAAGTAAGAGAAAAAAAAGGAAAATGCACATATCCAAGGTTAGCTATGAGAGCCATGGGGATGAAAGCAGGCAGGCAGCAGGCACACCCACGCACACACACACATGAAGACATACAAGGTGCATTGTTTTGCCCTGCCTCTCTATCCCCTTGCTTTAGGGCTCGGTTGTAGCATGCAAGATGAAGTAGAGTCTGCTTGTGAGGCAGAGAGCAGAAGACAGGGTCTGAGCCACTCATTTCAGCTGCCTTTGTGTAATCACACACACAATGCCTGCTAGAGTGATGTCGCTTCTGAGAGGGACCCCCGGCCTTGAATCTAAAACAAAACCCTATGCCTCATCTCCCACCTGACTCCAGGACCCACACTGTACAGCCACATCTTCCAGACAATCTGTGATTTTTTTTTTTCCTTTCTGCCAGGGCCCCTTACTCCCCTCACTCAGTTGACACACTTGTAACATACACTGGTGATTTTGATGATCATTAGCCGGCAGCTGACAATGAACCGGCAAGGGCTTAGGGCTTTGTGGTAGGTGAATTACCAGCACTCACACATAAAACCACTTTGTTTTCTGCGCCCAGAGGCTTAACAAGCAGAACGCCACATATGTATGCAGCATCCTCTGGGAGGAGGGAACCTTGGGGTGGTAAGGGGCACTGCAGGGACGAAGAGAACAACTGTGCTCCCCCCTCCCAGCCCCAGCTGAGGCAAGTCCAAGCAGGGAATTTGTTCTCCACAGCATGTAGGGTGATTCTGCCTGCCACAGAGATGCAGGAATGGCAATCTCTCCGATTTTAGAGAACCTAGGTTCGGGAAAACACTTGAAGAATATAATAGATAGACCATATTTTGTTTTGTTTTTTCCCCCCTCCTTTCTACTTGTAAAGCAATATTTGGAGAGCCAGGAGAAAGATAAGGAGGACAAGTCTCCTAATTGATCGCTCTGCCTGCTTAGATATTTCAGTTTAGAATGATTGTTACTTGGAGGAGGGAATACAACAACAAAAAAATCCAGATAGCTGAGATACAGAGTGTACCCAACTTAGGGGTCAAAAAACAAAACAAAACAAAACCCCGTGTGAGAGAGTTGGCATTTTCAGTGTCAGAATAAGGAAAGAATTAGAATTTTGCCCCCCCCCCTTTTTTTTTAACAATAAGCAGATACTTTGGAAAAGGAAAGCACGGAGGTATTTTAGAAACACAGAGGTCATGGGATTCTAATGATGTCTGAAAGACGGGTCTCATTCCTCATGTCAGAAGTAATGCTGTCAGAGATCAGATGGTTCTTCATTTACATTTTATAGAGCGCTGGGCTGAAGAAGGGCTGCTGCCCGTATCCTAGCCGCAGCAGCAGCAAACCGCTGTGGATAGTACAAGCTTAAAGCTGTCCTTCCTTTCATCTGTGTAGCTCTGCTCTAGTGAATTTTGACTCGTTTGGCACAACGTAAAAACAAAAAACAAAAAGCACCAGGTTTTCCTTGCCAGAAATATGTAGCACCTGCTGCCATCCCTGTACCCTTCATTGTCCACTCCTGTCCTGTTCCAGTGACCTTTCTGACTTGGGTTTTTGTCTTCTTGACACCAATACATCCTATCCATCTGGTTGGACGATAAATTGTGAAAATCATCTGGATGTCTTCCCCAGACGAAATCAGTCTGCCTGTATATTTGCACTGATCAGCCCCCACCTGCCCGGTGTCGCCCCCACACACCCCGCATGCTGTAAGGAGACTTAATTTTTAGGAAACAGATCTCTGACCACCAAGGTAGCCAAGGAAGGGAGCTTACACATGAACCAGAGGTGGGAGTCTCTTGCCTTTTCTGAGTAGCCATTTGAAGACTGCTGCAGAGAGAAAGAAGGTAGGGATGAGAAAGCAGCCTGCTCCCTACAGGCAGGTGGGCAGGGAGAGTGGATCAGCTAGGCTCCCAGTAGCAGCAGCAACAGCAGCAGCAGCAGCAGCAGCAGCAACATGAGAGTCAAGGGCTGTCTGTATAGTGCCTGCAGCCATCTTAGATTTAGAGGAAGCAAAAGCCGTTCAGCCTTGCTTTGTCTTAGGTAACAACCAGCTTGATCCAGTTCATGAAAATAAAAATAAAAATAACAATGAAAAGGGTTTTTAATCACAAAAGAAAAATTTCTATGATTTTTAGTTTGGGACAAATTGATCCCCTTCCCCATTTTTTTTTTTTTTTTAAATCTCACAGACACCAAAACTGAGACAAGATAATCAATTCTCTCTCTTTCTCTCATCTATATAGACAATCCATGCTGGCATTCCCCTCCTGTTTCTTCAGGGCAGTAAAAAGCTAGGCAGGTGGGAGAGAGAGGAAAAGGTCCCTTTGTAGTTGAGTCTAGCTGTGTTTGCTAACACCTCAGCCAAAGGTCAATGGAGACATCACCCCCAGATACTACTCCCAATCCATCTTCTTTGTTTTCCCTTCGGGGTACAACCCAGGCAGAGCCCAGGTGTGACCAGACCCCTATAGTCCCGCTTTGACCTTTTATTTTTAACAGTCTCATTCCTCATAGCATGTGCTTTTAGCAGTTAACCAAGTTTTGAGTAGGAAAAACAAAAAGGTCAAGAATTGATGACCTAGGTTTTTAGTTGCCCAGTGAAAGAGAGACTTCAGGATTCTAATAACAAGTCTCTGAAATCAGTGTCTTGTTGCTGAAAGCAAGCAAATGGTGCTGGAAGCTGTGCCAGAACTGGCAGGTCCTGGGACAAAGGCTAAGCAAGACTCCATGAATATCCCAGGGGCTTACAGACTGTTGCTAGCTCGCTTGCTTCTCTTTCCCTTTCCCTTCCCCTTCCTCCCTCCCCTCCTTTCTTCCTTCCTTCCTTCCTTCCTTTCTTCCTTTTTCCATCCTTTCTGCCCTCTACCCAGGTATACTTTCTTACTCTTCTCATTTTAGAAGAGCCAGGTCTTTATTTTTTTCTTGTCATAGCCTCTTTTGTATCCACTTTAGAAATGAAATATTTGTTGAAGCCTCTCACCACCACTACCAAAGCTTCTCTCTCTCTCTCTCTCTCTTTCTTTCTCTCTCTGCCATCTGTACCTCTCAATCAATCTAGAGGGCATGAAAGTTTTACAAAGTTGAGGGAGTGATATTTAATAAATTTAAGAACAGAGAAAGCAGGTGACATATGAAGGTATAGTTGTGAATTATAGTATTAAGCTTGCTAGGGAATCATACTCGTCTACATTTTTTTTCTTTTTGATTTTTACTTTTAATCTACCTCATCGATAGAAATTTAACTGTAAAGATAATTTAAGAACATCATCTTTGCAAGGTGACAATTAACTTTAAGTGTTCCAGGAACTTCCTACATGCTTGGATTAAATAGCTTTAGTTAAGGGTCAGGTAGGTTTGTAGACACTGGTATGCTCTTAAATTGCCAGAAGTATACAGGTTGTCTATTCAACAAGGGGACTGAATGTCTCTAGATCTCAGCTGAATTTTCAATCACCCTCACTATATGGCTCAACCATCTTGACCAAAGGCAGTCCAGGGCCTTCACTCTGAGCAAAAAGGGCCAAAGCAGGCCTGTCTTGACTCATCAAACCTACTCATCTTCTTGCCCTTGGCTTAGGCTCCTCTTTAACATGTCAGGGTCTCCCTCTCACCAGCAGTTGTCATCATACCAGAACCCCAGGGCTTGCTCTAAGGTCCCACCTACTCTACTCTTCTGTCGTCAAGACCATCAGGTGATTGCTGCTTTCTCACAAGGTACTGGTCTCCACTAGCTGAAGGGATACTTTCCCAGGCTTGATTTCTTAGTGTTAGGTCACTGCAAC